CATCCAGCAAGCTGATCCCGCCATCGGCTGCGGTGCCGAGCTGCAGCGTTCTCAAAGAAATCAGCATCCTGCGTAGTGAGGAACGCACTAGCTCCAACCAAGCTCTCTTGAAGGCTTTGTGGAAACCTGGTCGCTCGATCGAACCTTTCGTCAGTCTAGTCGTCCGCGCGTGGCTGCTCAGCGCTGTCGAAAGTGTGGTTGAGTCCATGGACAGCGTCCTCAAGGAGGTTTTCTTCATACATCGGCAGCTGAGGCATGACAATGCCGTGAAGGAGCTCACGATTCGATGGAATGGTCCTGAGCTTGATGATGCCGAACATCTCATAAGAGCTGTTCAGAAGCGTCACCAGTTTGACTTCGTGAGGCGGTCTGTCAACGTGAAGCACATGCTCACGAGAACAGTGATCGCCCGGCACAGAGCGTACCAATCATATCGCTCCTGCCTCTTCAAGTAGTTGAAGAGAAAAGGAGTGTTGACATCGTGAGTGAGCCCTTGGATCAAATTTTGCATGCGCGGTTAACGTTCTGGAGCTCACAGCGAGTGCTGAAGTACTGTAGACAGGGTTCTTAGGCTTTCGTTGTTTGCTGAACTGTACGCGGCGTATTTGGCATTTTGTACTTACACCATGTCGGCGCGATTTTGTACATATCCAAGGTGAATTCAGGGTGAATACAAAAAATCGTCGCCAACTACGTGGTATTGAAAGCGTTCTAGCAAAACATGTATCTGGTCGAGGATATGGTAGGTAAAACTACGATGCTGTCGCGATCCGACCGAAGCTCCCTTGAGAAGTTGACCAATACGATTATGCGTTCGCCGGGTTCATCAAAAAGCCAAGGAGACAAAATCTGCCATCGCAGTCCGGTGGAAGGCAGTGTCTACAGTTTTTTCACCCCTACTCGCACGGCGCCATTGAGGTGAGCCAAGGCGTCATTATGCAGTGTTATGCTGATCGTCCACTGACAGCGCCTTCAGAGAGCTACATTTGGTGCCGTATGTGGAAAACATCTGAAGGTATGTTGTTAGAGCAAATAAGTGCGCTTAAAACAGCGCACGGGCACCCATGAAACCTGAGCATTAAAAAGTGGATACTGAGAGAATATCAATACCATACAGATTAGTGTTTCGATTGTGAAAATGTGTCATGTGTCACTATTCACGCCTCTTTAGTAGCGCAGCCAGGATTTGGCCCAGGAGGAGCCTAAATCGGCTCACAGGGAGTCCGCCAGTCAAGGGAATCTTTATCGCTCCTTTGCTCTATTTTGTTTTTTGGGGGAGCAAGCGTCCTTCCCCGACAGTCTTGACATCCAAATAAGTCTCTCCTGAAGTCTGGAAGTCTTAACACAACCGCCGGTGGAATAAATGTCTATTAGAAGTAGAGCCATGATTTATATATCTGGGAGATCTTTTTTGCCTCAGCATGCTTTTTTGGTGGCCCAGGGTCGTGCTTATATTTTAGCTCAGTGAGTGTCTTAAATTGTCAAAATTTAGTGCACGGGCCTCGCGACTTCCAAGAGGGGGAGGGGGGAGGCATAGCTCCCCCTCCCCCCTCCTCAACCCTCCTTGGCCATGTCATTGTGCCTCTTCAAGTTTAGAGCGCAAGAATCCCTTGAAGGCCCCTCCGCAATCAACACGAGTATGGGTAGAAGTGGAATAGGAGTCGTTTCAGGAGCCATTCAGCAGAAGAGATGGTAGAATGAGGGTGGTCGCAGGGGGCTTAGTCTCATGACACGTTACCGTTGAAGACAAGACATCGGGCCCACTTTGGAAGACTTCCAGGCTTTGCGCCTGCTCCGATCATAGAAAAGTCGATACATCATCTTTTCTGGTTTGCCTATCTGTCGAACATTTGAGAAACGATGCCGAAGGGTCGTTAGACCAGCTGAAAATGAGTATATTGAAACAAATCCCATTACAAGAAATATGATCTGCCTTTGTTGGATTACGTTGAACTACGCTGCCACACACAGCGCTAAAGCTTTAGGGACGCTGTCATAGCTTTAGGGACCCATTTAATTTATCTTTACAACGCCATTGCGCCGTATAAAGAATTTCCAGTTTCTGTAGATGTCCATCTACGGCGCCAAAAAGTGCCCGATCCACCAGGCTTCTGGTCATAGGATGTTTCTTCGAAGCAACTTGCAGGCCAAAGTTGTGCTTAGATTTCAAATAAATTGACATGACGATAATTCTGCGTGTGTCTCACCAAATCCATACATATCGCCTACAAAAATATACTGCCTTTTTTTGGAAGAAGCGTAATTTTCCGACCGAGAGTTTACCAACCGCATTTCAAAAAAGCCTAGGTTTCTGTGGCGAATATTGCCGCCTTGGGAGCCAAATTCCGGTTGGTTTATTTTCTTGTCACTTAGTTGATATCTTTTGGTGCTCGATGGCGAAATCCCCGTTGCGGCCAGTGTTCGATATAATTTAGGAGCATGTGTAGAGCAGCAATACCAGCTGGTGCTGGCAGAAGAGCTGTCTTCCTCATCGCACGAGTGTACAGAACGGTACGAATTTCCTCACTGAGTACGTAAACATTGCGCGTGCGTCAAAATACTACTTAAAAAGAATCGTTCTACAATTGAAGATATTGAGGCAAGTATCAGATACTGTAAAGGTGCGAGCAACACGACCTATTTATATTGGTATATATATATATATATATATATATATATGATATATAATAATATATATATATATAATATATCTATATGATATTATAATATATAATATATGTATACATATATATATATATATATATATATATATATATATATATATATATATATATATATATATATGTAGACCCACATTATATTAGTAATGAGCCTCAGTACACACTGCAGCCACGACCGGTTACAAACCGCCGGAGGCGTGTCCGCCGGCACAGCATCACTAACCCACGCAGGGGTGCGCGAATCCAGAACACACCGCAGCACGGTCGACAGTGCACGTGCACTACACTGAAGTGCGCGTGCACTGTCTGATTTAGAAGTTCGTTCGGTTCCCTTACACCACACCGGCCTTGAACTTATCCTACTTTTGGCCCTTGTATGAATCATGCGTCAGAAACTATTCCAGCACTGGAATCACCTCACTGGCGTCTGCTAGAAGCACGCATCGCAGCGAAAAAGAGAAGAGTTCACCTGGTTGATACTTTCGGAATCTGACTTACTTGTGGTTGCTGACTGCTGAATGTCATCGGCAATTGCCTTCAGTCATCTGTCCCAGTCCTCTTGGCCTAACATGTCGATGACGCTGACCGCTTGCTGTCGGCCGTCGCCACGACCCTGAGGGCGCCACTCACTGCGCAGACCACCTACTGTGTTCTTCCAATAAGTCAAGCAAAGTTTCGAAACATCTCCAACCCAAGTGAAGCTATAGCATTTTTACTTACGGAAGCGGCAAAGATCCGCATCGCGGTTACCTCCATTGCATCTTCATTGCAACGCCAGCAACGTGGCTCAACCGAGGTCATACGGGGCTCGGTTTTCACATCCTGGGATGGTCACAGCATTCTCCCAATTATTAGATATCCGGTAAGCGTCCTTGGTTGAGGCCACCATAACGAGGAAGATACTCACGTCTCTGCTGAATGGATTGAAAGATGTGATGATGTGTCGGCTACAAGTCTTTATTGAAACGAATGTAAGTAATTAATTCAACATTTTCAATATATTTCATCAATTTGCAATACATGGCACAGTCAAATACGTCAAATGAATTTATAATTTGAGGTTATTACTAAAGTTTGTTTCGATCAAGGGATATAGTCAAAACATTAATGCCAATCACTATTTTCTTGCTTATTAGAGGAAACTAGTTAAAAGAACTGTCCTATCTGGATGCAAAATGTTCGTCGCAAATGCGCTATAAACTTGCGATTTTAATTACATTCACATCCTCGGCTCCGGGTTAATTCCAAAGTTATGCGGTTCCAAGTCCAATTGCAGTAATAACTAGCACCAAAGTTCAATTACTTACATAGTAAAAATCGTGATTCGTGATTTATACTAGTACAGCCTTCTCGAAGAGCCAATTGGCCTTCATTATGTGTGTCAATCGTGCTCACGGACGCCAGATTTGAACAGCTAAGCAATGTATTGTTCTTTGTCTTGAACACCAGGTGGCCGCCAGTGGGGTGGTGGGATATAAATGACGTTTTCATGTCATCATCCATGCACGAATGATACTGAATACCTGGCACAGAATAATCTTCACATGTTTTGGAGAGTGCACCTCAGACATAGGACTTTGGGTGCTAATTATCAGAGCTGCGAAAAGCATCACTATCTTTAAGATGGTTTATCAGTCTGATTTCTCATACAGATATGAAACACCCTATTTAACAACAGCCACGGTCTAAGATCAGGAAAAGAGTGCGTCGATACGTGGCTGAAGCCCTATCCCAGTGTGGAGACCAACTTCAAATTGTGGGAAGTCGTCTTGGCGTTACTTTTCGCAGGACATCGTCATGGACACGGTGTAAACTTTACAGTGCGCACTGAAATATGGAACGGGGTACGACGTGGCATCACCTATGTATACTTTCAGCAATCGCCAAGTGAAGTGTTGAGCTGCTGGGGCGGGTTGGTGCGGTGTTGACCACCAAATGTTCTCCTAGGCATCTAAAGATTCCTACCAGCGATGAATACCATTGGGCTAGGCTGATCCAGTGGCAGATCTAAAGCTGCTGGGGGGGGGGGGGGGGGGGGGGGGGAGTGCGGAAGCGGCGTCCACCGCATCTGGAGATAAACACCGGAATCATGTGCGTCTGAAGTGCGGTGTCTAGGCTGGTTGCAGGCTGTTCTTTGAGTCTAGATCTGCCGCTGCAGGAGGAGGGGAGTGCGACGCCTGGGTCTGCTGCTGCTAGAAGAGAGTGAATCACCCGGGTCTTCCGACATCGTCTCTGGAGTCTCCTCGCCTTCTTGCCGGACAGTGCGCCTCATAACGATCCCATGACAGGTCTGTGGGACCGGCCATAGTCGGCTGAGGGTCACGGACGTTGGCAGGTGGTGAGACGGCCAATCACGCCTGCACAACGGACGCACGTTCTGAGGCGACAACTCGGTTTCTGCGACTCATTCAGCCGCTCGTGACAGCACCGCAGACTGAACCGCTCGTGACAGTAGCGCGGACTGCGTGACAACCCCGCAGACTGAACCGCTCGTGACAGCCCCACAGACTGAACCGCTCGTGACAACCCCGCAGACTGAACCGCTCGTGACAGCCCCACAGACTGAACCGCTCGTGACAACCCCGCAGACTGAACCGCTCGTGACAGCCCCGCAGACTGCGTGACCATCCCGCAGACTGAACCGCTCTTGACAGCCCCGCAGACTGCGTGACCATCCCGCAGACTGAACCGCTCGTGACAGCCCCGCAGACTGCGTGACCATCCCGCAGACTGAACCGCTCGTGACAGCAACGCAGACTGCGTGACCATCCCGCAGACTGAACCGCTCGTGACAGCAACGCAGACTGCGTGACCATCCCGCACACTGAACCGCTCGTGACGGTCCCGCATATTAAACATTCGCAGACTGGATGCTCCATCAGTTCTTGGCTGCCTTGACTTTGCCTGTTGCGAGCCGCCGACGAAGTAACCCCAATGACATCACGCACTGAATTGTGCAGATTGTAAACAGAGCCATGGACTTAACCTCGCACACAGAGACTTGAAAGCAATTGGCATCTCACAGTTGATGCACTGTGACTCTTAACTCACTAAGGCGTGATACATATTGTTCTGCAAAATGGGCATACCAAGTCGTTATTTACACCGGCACCTAGTCATTTGTACAGACATCATGTCCACACTTCGCCCTGTATTTTTACAAGATGTGAGACGACAAACAACCAAGCAAAAGGGAATCATAGTAATGCCAATGACATGATAGCGATAAACGCATGATAGCATGGCTTAAATCATTTATTCATCCAATTCAATTCAATTCAACTCAGCATTCATTCAAATCAATCATCATTAAATCATTCATCATGACATCAATCATCATCATTCCCTTGCACCTTCTTGCGCCAGTTTGTGACACCAAGTCATGTAATTAACGGGGCGCATTTTCAGTTCAACATGCTTCAACGAGTACCTTTCTCCCTTCCAGTGTTTCCAGGTAACTCCGTGCCAAGCCGTTTTGATGGCACCTTTGGCGTACTGCCCTGTCAGAGTTACATACATGCATGACTTGTGCCACCACGCACTCTTGTACACCACTGCACAGTGCTTACTCCAGCTATCGTTGTCCTGATCCTTCGTTGAGAACTTGCAGTTGTTACAATATGTCAGGGAATCCCCAGTGTTTCCTTCATACTTACCAATTTTGATTGCGTACTTCTGCTGTTCAGTGCCGATGGAGAAGGGAGTATAAGTGGAGAAGGTGGAGGCGTTGTCCCAAGCCTTCAGATCCACACGTAACTGCATCTGATCCATGCTGGTCAGCAGGCTCATGTACTCGTTGCCCAGCCAGAACTCGCTGCTGAGGTTGCCGAAGCCCCACTTGTAGCTCTGCCAACCCATGTTGAAGTCCTGGTGGTCGGCAACGTCCGCGCGCCTCATGAGCACCGTCCAGCCGCCGCCGTCCGTCTCCATGTCGCAGAAGACGCGGATGCCGCCGCCGTTGCCGCATACGGGTGGGAAGATGGTGTAGACGCCGCTGTGCTGGTGTCGCTGCTGGACGGCGGCACAGTCGGCCGGACGCCACTCATCAACGGTCTGGAACTGGTCCCGGAAGCTGCACCGCTCCACGATGACGGTGGTGGCGCCGCTGCCGGTCGCTACGGCGACGGGACGCGCCTCCTCCAGCAGAGTGACCAGCCGCTGCTGCGTGTCGTTGAGCTGCGCCTGCAGCTGCTGCTCCGACTGGCGGATCTCCTGGCTGATGGTGTCCGCGAGGTCGGGCGGGCTGGCGGCGGCGGTAGCGGCGGGCGCCTTCGCTGCAAGCGCGGCTTGCCTGAGCTCGGCCAGGGTCTCTGTCAGCCGACTGCTGCCCACCTCCCTGTACAGCTGCAGCACGCTGTTGTCCAGCTGCGCCAGCTGCGTGTCCACCGTGTGTGTGAGCGTCTCCAGCCGCGCCGCCATCTGGATCAGACGCTCCTCCATCCTCTGCAGGATGCCGGGCGTGCCATAGCCGTTCTCCGGCTCTGTACCGATGCTGCTCTTCAACGGGATGTCGTGGGCTCCGGTGCCGTCTGCGCACAGAACACTGCACACCAGCAGAGAGTACACGAGGAGCCGCATCTTGACCGCCGCTGCCGTTGCTGCTGTCTAACTCTGCCCTCTGCACCGCCAGCTCTCCTTATATACCGACAGTTTGTTAACTTCCACAGCTCAGACAGTCTGGGTTTCCGCAGACCGCTTTGTTTACAGTTTGTACCGTGTACGATTCTGACACTGGTGGGCTTCCCACGACTAGGCAGACATAAACACATAGCTTGGGCCGTTCCAGGGCAGCAGACCTTTCATCTTGACATGTGAGCCAGCATGCTTGGTTTGTCGTGGCTGGTGTCGTCTTCAGAGCGTAAACATCTAGTAAGCAGGTACTCCGATGCCTGGTATTTCCAAACATAAACATGTGACGGAGGCCCAGAGAGCCGTTGGAATCTGGACTGCGTCACGAGCGTGCCGAACCCGAGCATGAGCAGCTGTGTTTACAACTGTTGACATCACGTCGGGAAGTCAGCGATGGTGAGCTCGTGTTGATGACTCACTTGGAAGGTCCAGCCTTTATCAGACCTCAGCTAGGCTTGTATTCCATCGCAACCTTTCCCAAAACATGGATGATTAACATTGGTATGCCCCGGATTCCCATGGTTTAGAGTAGTGTTGACCGATGTATGCCCTGGAGCATTCTGACCCGTCGCAATGCGTGACCACGTTTGTAAATCGTTACGGAAGTGTAAACCATCGGCACCGTGTGCAGGATCAATGTTTGAACTGCCATCGAGCCAGGAAATGATTTTCATGTCTTACATTCGACATAAACAAGGAAGTCTCTCAGTCCCAGGTGTTCAGGGATCATGAGCTGCAGGTCCATCGCTATGACTCATTTCGTTACAGCGCCTGGCTTCTGCTCCAACCACGGGTGATAGGATGAGTTCGGTCAGAGGCAGTCGAAGCCCACCTTGGGTGACTCGAGAGAATCCTGCACAAATTATGTCGCCTTGTTAGGCTAACCAGCGCCTTCCTGAGCCATCTTTCTCTTCCATCTTTGCCGCGTGCATGTACGAACTGCGTGCGTGTGTGTGCGTAGCAGCAGATAGCGCGTACTGTTACTCCGCTAAAGTTGTTCGTATTTGCACTTCAGTACCGTAGCTTGGACACAAGCTGGCTAATCTTAGTCTGGCTTTACCTCTGACTTGGTGCTGTACCAGTTGGTGATCGTTTATCAAGCATTCACAAATGCACCTTTGGGAGCATGTAACTGCTCGGGCAGCATGTCTACAGTAATTGAAAACGATTTAAGGCAGCATCGTGCATTTTGGCTTAGTTACAACTGTATAAATTACGCTGGCTTTCAATTTCACCGGTTCCGTGCATTCCAGTGGAATGTTGCACAGTTGAAAATATTAACACGCGCCCGAGTGGCCAATTGAATACCCTTCGCTCGGATGGGGGTCAATTTGACCGCCCTGAGATCTCAGGAACTAAGAGAGTTGAGACACCAAATTCACAGGGTGTGTTGAATGGTACGTGAACTCACTTAGGTTAAAGTTTGAGGTCCTCAGGTCATGACCTTATTGTCTAATAAGAACAAACAAGGTCAAGTTGCAGGTTGGTCTTCGGCGGGAGCCTGGATTACTGATATAAGCAAAATATCACGTGCTTATCTAAAGTCGGTGACCTCGTTTGACCTTTTGAAGGTCATGTTGACCAAAATCTTACAAGGCCACTTTGAATCTTGCATTTGGACAAATGACATAGAATACGCTTGGTAGTATGTTCCTAAAAAGAATGTGTTGACGTGGGTCATTCTTGGTCAGTGGTTTATTCTCGACTTAAAGAAGTCTATCAAAGTTGTATAATGCGGCTCCCGTTGTCAATAAATTCGAAATGAGCATCAGAGACTACCTCATACAGCAAGCCCTATAGTAACAAGGCAGGCTGATTTTGACCTTGGTCTGACATTCATAACCAACCTTAGGCCAATATAATTTATTCATTCGATTGTTGCGTTGTCTCAGAAAGTATTTCAGAGATGTGTGGTTTCGTCTAACACTCCGTTGTTGGACCAGACTGGACGATTCCCGAGAAATTGCCTTCGTTGAAGTCATGGCTTGATTTGGACCTGCCATAGATCAGCGACCTTACAAGGTACATATGAATGTTTGATGGCAGTCCATGCGCTATTAAACCTTGCACAGCTGTACAAAATTTGGTGGGACGCAGCCCTGCCGTTCGGAAGACATTTTGGAAAACCCTTGTGGGGCGGGAGTAAATTTGACCTCCACCCGAGCGTGTGTTAAAGCAAGCTTGATATACGATCAAATAAGGTCAGTTGTAACAGCTGATTGCTTTTAAGTGGAAATAGCTGCTCTAGACAGCACAGTTTCTCATTTAGCAAACATTCTCCTTACTATGTCATGGCATGATGACGCCATCGTAACTTGCATGACCTTGACTGAGAGCTAATGGACGGTTGTGATGGCTGGAAATCGTGCTCACGAAGGCGAGATGTGAACGACTCGACAATAATATATTTTCTTGATCTTGACCGCTGCATAGCTTGGAATGTCAAGATTTGAATGATTTTAGTATGCCCTCATGAGTGCCTGGGTAACATTAAAACGGTCTTTCTGAAATGGTCGATACATCTTCGCGAACGTGTAGCTTAGAAACTAGATGAGTTGAAGCCTTGATAAGCGAAGAGCCGTGCACTGCATCAAAAAACCTTCAAGATGTTTATTTCATTTAGAAACCCCCATGACAGTGTGGAACACTCCCTTTATGCATGGATTATAAGACGTTTCGAACCTTGATGTTTGCTGTTTGCGAAGTAATCTCACAACTTTTTTGTACATGTGAGCCCCGAACTCATGTTTCTTGCACAAATACTGGAACAGACAGCTAATCACAGATGTCTTTTAACCAGCCCTGGGCAAATTCACACTCCGGTATTTATGTTAACAATTTTTGACATCAAATCAAAGAACATCCTGTGCATGTGCATTTGTGCATAGACCTGTGGACAAAGGCAAAAGCAAACTAATGCTGCGGCAAGGGTAAGGTCAGGTGAAGGTCGTTCTGCGTTAAGGTCAGGCCACCTTAACGGATCTAACTTTTCCGTTGTTCATCCGCTGAGTAAGGCCATCAATTGCTGCACATGATTTTTATAGATCATTGGAATGGAATGATGCTAATGGTACGGTATTATCTAGCGCGAATAAACACAAAAAATCAACGGGATGATGTCGTCCGAGCTGATCTCACATAAGCTCTGGTGATGATCGGGTGTGCGGTCGTGTGGTGCGACTGGCCCTGACTGGCAGAGGCTCAAATCAATACACGAATGACATACGAGCGTTTGAAACTGTGAGGGAAGCCATCAGTACCTGCACCCTGAAGAAAATACTCCTAGAAAGCCTCAATTGACGGCAGAACAACGTGAGGATTTTTACCCGTGAACTGAATAGCGGATTGACTGTTAGTAGACAACTGAATAGCGGATCGACTGTTAGTAGACAACTGAATAGCGGATTGACTGCTAGTATACAACTGAATAGCGGATTGACCGTTAGTAGAAAACTGAATAGCGGATTGTCTGGCGTCGAACATTTAGATGAAGCTTGTAAGGTCGTTGATCTATGGCAGGTCAAAGTCAGGTCATGGTTTCATCGAAGGTAATTTCTAGGGAATCGTTTAACCTGATCCAATAACGGAGTGTTAAATGAAGCCATTAGTCTCTGAGATGCTTTCTCACGATATGCAATAATTCATTTAACAAATGAAATCCACTTAGGATCAGATAGGAAGGTCAGACCAAGGTAAAAAACAACCAGTTTTATTACTGTACGGCTCGCTGTACGGGGTAGTTTCTGGTGCTCATTTCGAATGTATTGATAGTAGAAACCGCATTATCCACCTTCCATGGCCTTCTCAAAGGTCAGAATAGGTCGCTGACCTTAAATGACCCAGGTCATCATTTTCCTTCGGTTGAATACTGCCTAGCGTGAACTTTGTCGCTTATCCAAATGCAAAACTCAAAGCAGTCATGTATGATTTTGGTCGCCATGGTTTTCAAAAGGTCAAAGAAGGCGAAGGATCTCAAATGAGCATGTGAGCTTTTGCTTAGTACAGTTAGCTAGGCTCTAGGGACCCTTTGGAGACCAACCTGGAATTTTACTTTGTTTAACCTTGTGATCTAGAGGTCATAACATAGAAACTTCAAACTTCGACCTAAGTGAGCTCACGTAGAGGTTAGCACACCCTGAGAATTTGGTGTCTCTAGCTCCCTTAGTTTATGAAATCTCGGGGGGTCAAATTGACCCTCAACCCACCCGAGCGAAGTGTATCCGACCGGTCACCCGGGGGCGTGTTCATTTCGTAAACCCCGCTGTTTTTCGTGCAAACCTCTTGAAATCCAGACTTCAATAAATGACATGTATTGCCCATCGGGCAGTGGGCCCGGAAATAGGATATTTCACCTTAGACCTTTTTAGCTTCTTGTTCTTCCGAGCTATGCCTACGCGCAGGTTGAATTTCCTAACGATATGCTCGATTTTCAAAGGCAAGTGTTCATCTATGTGAGTGTTAAGTATCTTTTAGTTGGCAGGGCGTGCTCCTATTTCGTACCACCCATCCTCCTACGTGCTCCAAATGGTTTGACCCCTTCCAACATTCAACATTAAGGTCCTGGAGAGTATCCATTGCCCAACAGCAAAGTCCGTATTTTGGTTTTGATCCTTCCGTCTTTTTCACTGCTTGGTAAGTTGTTTCGACCCTATGGAGCATGTTTCGAAACATATGGTGCCAAGCGAAAGGCGGATGCGCAGATTCCTAGTGCAGAATTATACCAGAGTTGGTGGGACTAATCAGGGCCCCGTTTCTAACGTTGTACGGTTGTTCCTCTCTTCTACCATTACTAGTGTATCCAAATGCGGACCCCTTTTCTGCGTGCTTTATCGTAAAGGCTGAACTGGGTAAATAAAGAGGCTGAACACTACTTGACATCGATGAGCACTCTCTTTGGAGAATTTGATGCATCTTTAGAAAATCAAAACTGCGCGTACGGACAGCGTAGA